CTGGGCTCAAGTGAGTCTCCTGCCTCCACCTCCCAAGTAGCTGGGACTACAGGCACCCACCACAACAGCTGGCTATTTTTTGATTGTAGGCGTCATTGTTGTTTCACGGGCCTGGGCTGGATTCGAACCCACCAGCTCAGGTGTATGTGGCTGACACCTTAACCACTTGAGCCACAGGTGCCGAGCCTTTATTACTGTTCTTAATGAACTTCATATAGTTCCAGATTTGGTCACTGGGAGCACCTTTAAGCTAGTGAAAGCCTAATATTAAAAAGATGTTGATTTTGAGCATTTATTTTTTTCTGATATTTAAATATGTTATAAGCTCATCTCGTATCTTTCTTATCCCATATTTAGAATCAACTCTTTATATAAGAAAGAGTCTCTCATCCAACTCTGGAATTCCTTACTTACTAGTGGGGAATGGTATTTAGAAATTGGAGTAATGGGTCCTAGTTGTGCTTATTATGGTGCTGCTCATCGAGTGTAGACCCTTTCGGTGGTTAGATCTAATAAACATTTATATTCCAGGTATTGGTTCCAGTTCAACTCCCTAGGGCTTTTCCTTCCTTCCCTCATTTGCCTTTTGTAAACTTCTACAGTAAGAATCCTGGAGCCCAGTATCATCACCATGTTTGCTAGATCCAAATCCACATAAAGCACTTTCAGAGTTGCTAATCATATCACTATTAAGAGAGTTAAGAAAAACAACAGCAGGGTTTAATATTTGTGTTTTTTTCTTTTTTTTTTTGCCTCTTAGAGTGATTTTGTGTTTAGACATTACTTGCATTATCTTGTCTTTCTTTGTCTCATTCTCTTTTGAAATATATATATTATGAGTACATTTGTGTTTTAGTTCAGTTTGAGAGTTTTTCCTCTCATCCTTGGATTTTTATTTGTTGGAGATGTAGAACATTAACATGTTTTTCCAGTGTTTACTCAGAGAAATACCACTTTTCCCCTTAACTACTTGCACTTCATCCTGTCCCCGTCCAGTTTTTACTTTGTTTCTTTTTCAAAAATAAGCGCATAAATGTTTTCCTAGTTCCCTTTTTTCCTGGGAAGCTAAAATCGGTTGAGTATTCCTTATCTAAAAATTCTTGGGACTGGAAGTGTTTCAGATTTCAGTCTTTCTTGGATTTTAGAATACTTGCACATACATGAGATGTTGGAGAATGGGTACTCAAATCTAAACATAAAGTTCATTTGTTTCATCACCCTTACAGAATAGCCTACAGGTAATTTTATACAATATTGTTAATAATTTTGTTCATGAAACAACGTTATTATATTGAGCCATCAGACAGCAAAGATGTCACTTTCTTGGCCATCATGTGGACAGTCTTATGATTATTTGGCATTACCATCATTCCTGACTCTGCATTTATACGCAACAGGTAGCAGTTACTTTCTTATAATTATTCACACGTATATACTTTTTTTTTGAGACAGAGTCTTACTATGTCACTCTTGGTAGAGTGCTGTGGTGTCAGCTCATGGCAACCTCAAACTCCTGGGATTAAGCAATTCTCTTGCCTCAACCTCCTGAGTAACTGGGACTACAGGCACCTGCCACAACACCTGGCTGTTTTTGGTTCAGCTGGCCCAGGCCGCGTTCAAACCCACCAGTGAACCTGCCAGCCTTTCTGTATGTGGCTGGTGCCATAACCACTGAGCTATGGGTGCCAAGCCGCACATGTATGTACTTCTTAATAGTATTTTTCACACTTGTAAATAGTAAAAGTATGGCATACCATACTTTTTAATGTGGCAGGTGAAAAAATAACATGTCAAGCATATAATTTTCGACTACTGTTGGCACTCGAATATTCTGAATTTTGGAGTTTTGAAATATGGATGCTTGACCTATGTATGCTTTTTTAACTTAACAATATATTCTAAAAATTCCCTCATAAATGAAATTCATAGAAATCCTCAGTCTGTTTTTAGAAACAGCGGTATAGTACTCTATGGCATGTATTATTTGCACATACCATAATTTATTCAACCAAACTCCTAAGCTTGAACATTTCAGTAGCTTTTACACATAATGCTTCAATGGCTATTTTTATGCATATTTACATTTTGTTGTTGGAGGGGTGCAATCAGGATAAATTCCCATTATTGTGGGGTAAATACATGTATAGTTTTGTTAGATACTGACCAATTCCCAATCTCTGTGTTTGTACTATTTTGCAGTAGTACACTTCCTCTAACGAAGTGTGAGAAATAGACCTGTTTTCCTATAGAAATTGTAATCAGGCTGTCTACATTTTGCATATATGATAGATGAGGATTAGTATCTTCCTACCTTCCCACCGTGGGCACCTTCAGAATTCTGTCCTGTGCAGTGCTCTGTGCAGTGGGAGTTTCAGTGCATAGTCCCACAATCACTTCACTCTCCCCTGGACACACATTTTCCCTCCATTGGGCTTGGCACTGTGTTGAGATGGGGGAACAGTGGCATAGGGAATGTAAGATTGTCCTTTCTGCCCTCTTCAGTGTCTCTGGATAGAATGTTAAAACCAGGTAGGTTGTTTACCTTATTTTTGGTTCTTTTGAAGGTGCATCCTTATGTGGATAGGTGTTTGATATTGTATTTGTTTGGATGGACAGTTGCTGAATGTTTCTACCTGGCCATCTTGCTCTGCCTTCTTGCCCAAATGCCCATATTTCTGTCAGTGATTTGAGATAGAGTGCCACATGCAATTGGGTCTCCTGAATTTTGATTACTGTTCTATTAGCATAGCATTCATATGGTAATGCCATGCTGTTTTAATGGTAGGAGATTTGTAGTCTGTTTTAATCTGTAGAACCTCCATAGCTGACCACCTCCCTACATTGACCACCTCCTTAAGTTGACCTAATTTTCCTAGACCAGACATGCACCACATGTACTAGTAGAAGTTTCTTATGTTGACTACCTCTGTTACGTTGACCAGTTTGTTGTAGTCCCTTGGGTAGTCATTTTTATAGAGGTTATACTGTGTTTGGTAAGGTTAATCCTATAACTTTCTTTTCAGTGTTTTTGAAGCTTTCCTTGCATGTTTATTTTCCCATTATCAATTTTACTGTCAACTTTTCTTAGTTACAGAAAAAATTGTTAATACTTTTATTGATATTAAGTATATATATTAGGGATAACTAAAGTCTGGACACTGTTTCTACCTTGTGTGTTTTTTTAAATTATCTTTGTATGCATTTAAAACAATTCTTTTTTAAGTTTATTCTGAAGTATTTTTGTTCCTCTTAAAAAGAAGGTTTTCTCTATTATATCTAGTTATTATTTTTGAATATGGAGGTCTTTGGATTTTTGTAGCTTTTAATTTTCATGTAATTTCAAACTGAAGTTGAAAAAAATAGTATAGTGAACTCTCATATACCACCCATTTTTTAAATATACACACACATATGTATATATTTTTCCTCAACCATTTGACAACAACTGGAAGTTAAGGACATCATGCCACATTGTGTCCTAAGAACAAGGACCGTCTCTCTGATAGCCATGTTACATAGGTACCAAATTCTGGAAATTTAACACTGTCCGTTACCATCTAACCCACAGTTCATATTCAGATTTATCCTTAATACCTTATTTATCCTTATAGCCTTTTATATTGTATTAGTTATGTTTTTAGTCTTTCTTAATCTGCAACAATTTTATAGCCTTTCTTTCTTTTTCTTTTTTCTGAGACAGAGTCCCACTTTATCACCTGTGGTAGAGTGCTGTAGTGTTATAGCTCACAGCAACCTCTAACTCCTCGGCTTAGGTGATTCTCTTGCCTCAGCCTCTCGAGTAGCTGGGACTACAGGTGCCCTTCACAACACCTGGGTATTTTTGTTGTTGTTGTTGCAGTTTGGCCAGGGCTGAGTTCAAAGCTACCACCCTCGGTATATGGGGCTGGCGCCCTACCCACTGAGCAACAGGCGCTGCTCTTTATAGCTTTTCTTAACCTTGACATTTTTTGAAGAATATAAGGCCAGTTACTGTGTTTCCCTGAAAATAAAACCTACCCAAAAAATAAGCCCTAGCAGGATTTCTGTGCATTTGTTAGATATAAGCCCTACCCCAATAATAAGACCTAGTGATGGGTGTGGCTATACAGATATGCTGCATAGCCACACCATGCATTTTGGCACAGAGAGGAAGACCTTCCCTGAAAATAAGCCCTAGTGTGTCTTCTTGAGAAAAAATAAATATAAGACAGTGTCTTATTTTCAGAGAAACACGGTATTTCATATACTAGTAATTTTGGTTTGATACTTCATCATGATGACATTTAGGTTATGTATTTGTGGCAGGAATACTACAGAATTTAAGTGTCCTTCTCAATACTAGTGATTTTAACTTTGATTACTTGGTTATGGCAGTGTCTGCCAGTTTTTGTTAGTGCAAAATTAATATTTTTCCCTTTGCACTTAGGAAGTTATTGGCAGGGAGATATTTTGAGACGGTGTAAAAATCTTGGTCCTTATCAAACTATCGCCTAGTATATTTAGCACCTGTTGATCACTATCGCCATTATTCCTTCTATATTGTTTAGTTAGAATTTTTCTGTAAGAAAACGCTGTCCCCCTATTTATTTAGTCCTCAGTTTTTATTATCAGTGTAGATTTATGGATTTGTGTTTTATTCAGTATAATACATAATCATTTTGATACTCAGATTGTGTTAGATTTAGTAAAGGCCCTTGCAAACTAGCTCTCATGGCTTTAAAACATTTCCTTTATTTTTTGAGTACTTAACTGCTGTATGGGGCAAAAAGATGTTCTGGGCTTATCTTGTATTTTTTCCTGCCCCAGCTTGGAATCTGATTTTTTTTTTTTCCTCTAAAAAGCAAATTACTTTTACTGGAGAATATTTAGAACCTAGATATTAGGTGTACACTTATTTCTTCTTAGTCCTTAGCAGACAGAGCTAGAAAATATATTTTTTCCTCTCTTAAAAAAAAAATGAATAAATACTGATACCCCTGACTTTAGCTTTAAAACTGTGGTGTAAATCTAGTTTTCTTCCTTTCCATAACATAGTTCTTTTATCTAATTAGGAACCTAGTCACAGTTTGCTTGTTGTAGTTACTCATTTATTCAAGTGTTGGATACACAGCAAATAATTTCAGAATTGTCAACACGTCCCCCTGTGAAAAATAAATGTAACTAGAGTCCAACATATTAGGGGTTTTTTTTGGGGGGGGGTTCTGGGAGGTGTAAAATTTACATATTTAGTTTCATTGTATTTGTGGTATTTACTGATTTCTAGAGCATACTGTGGTCAATTTCAAGCTTCTAATATGGCCTGCAAATTTCCTGAGGAAAAAATGAGAATCTCAAAATAAGGTGGTGGTATTGACATTATACCCTCACTTGTTTTTTTCAGTGGCTTGAAATGTATCGCTGCTTGTATATGCCTAATTCAGTGATTTACAAGTTCTTTTGTCAATAATTTTAACTAAACTATCACTTATGAAATGGCAAGTGCCTTAAAAGATAGCTTATAAAGAAATAGTGGACTCAGGCACACAAATGAAGAGTAAGTGATTTTTAAGTTTCTGGCATAACCTTTTGTTGGGGCATTGTAAAATTAAAACAATGATGAGTTAACCAGATTGGATGAAAGGTTGCCTCCCCTAAAAAAAAAAAATTTTTTTTTTTTTTTTTTTTTCTGAGACAGAGCCTCAAGCTGTCGCCCTGGGTAGAGTACTGTAGCATCACAGCTCACAGCAACCTCCAACTCTGGGGCTCAAGTGATTCTCCTGCCTCCACCCCCCCAAGTAGCTGAGACCACAGGTGCCCGCCACAATGCCTGGCTGTTTTTCGGTTGTAGCTGTCATTGCTGTTTGGCGGACCCAGGCTGGATTTGAACCCACCAGCCTCAGTGTATGTGGGTGGCGCCATAACCACTGGGCTATGGGTGCCAAGCTAGAATCACTAGTCCACTTAAAAAAAAATCAGATTACATTTTAAAACTGCTAGGGAGCTGGAATGAGTCCTTTTATTTGCTGATTAATTCAATAAATACCGAGTATCTACTATGTGACAGGTACTAGGTACTATATGTACTAGGAATTTAAGTGGACAGGAAGTAGGATTTATTACTGGTAGGTGCAATTGAGAGGCAGCATGGTGTGTAAGTCCTTCATGAGTGCAGCTGTCACTTGTCCAGGGAGCCACAATTGGGAATGTATTTGACCCCATAGCCATCTGGGATGAGCTGCTTTTCAACCACCATGTCTTCAGATTCATCTGAGTTAAACTTGGTAAAGCCCTACTTCTTAGAGATGTGAATCTTCTGGCAGACAGGGAACTTGAACTTGGCTCTGCGAAGGGCCTCAATCACCTGCTCCTTATTTAGTTTGGTATGAATGGACATGATGACTTGGTCAGTGTGAACCCTGGCCATAGTGCCCTGGGGCTTTCCAAAGGCATACCTGTCTGGAGCCTACACTGGGGACAGCACAAGGTCTAACACATGAACATGTACTGGAAAGGAATGTCTCCAAGGTCCCTTAGAGCAACCTATACAAGCAACAGGCTGTATACACTGCCAAGCAGGCTGCCATTTGCAGCCATTGCATACCTTTTCCTCTTTAGCTTGTGAGGAAAGGAGCATGGTCTTGCAATTTGATTTTTAATAGTAATTTTTAGTAGTGTAGATTAATTTAGTATATCTCTTATGATTAATAACCCTAGCTGTTTAAATTTCTTTAGAAACTTGGCAACTTGGTATTTAGGATTACTTTATTTTCTTATCTTTGTATTAATTCAGATATTCTCCATAAACCCCTTAGTAGAAATTTGAAAAGGGAAGAGTAAAGAAAATAAAGCAAAAGCAACATAGTAAACAATGATATAAAAAACAAAATTGTAAGAAATACTTGTATCATGAGAGAAAATTAAAACTATTAAAAAAAGTTCTTTAAAATTAGATACTTTTGCATATTGGCAAGGTAAACTGACTAGATATCTATCTGAATCATCATTGTGTATTTATTTCCTAGTGATGTGCTTTCCATCCGAGAATGGAGATATAGCATATATACTTAAAAATGTGGACTAATGGAGATATTTTCCAGTGAACTGCTATAATAGTAGCATGATTAAATGATAATGACCCACGAGAGCCGATTTTATAAAGTTGTTTAGACAGCTATCAAAACATAGAGGCTGTCTGGAAGTGATGAAAGGATAACAATTAGAATTATTACTTGACATAGCTTGGTACTGCTTTATTTTTAAGCAATTTAAAACATTTAATGTCTGTGCTCCTTTACTCTCACAGCATCCCCATGTGGCAGATAAGAGTAAAATGTCATTTCTCTTATATAATATTTGGGAATATCAGAGACAACCTTAATTTGTCAAGTAAGTTATAAAATCAGAGCCCCTGCAAGCCATTTTGGGCACTGAAGAAAAAAAAAATTTAGGAACCCTAGCAGAGGTAACCAGCTAAACTTCTGTGCCCTGGAGCTCAAATTGTAAAAGATGACTCCTAATAAAATCTGTTCAAATTGCAGTGGGTTTTTATTTTAGGCCTTTATTTATTTTATTTTAATTTTTTTTCCTGGCCAGGGTTGGGTTTGAACCCATTACCTCCAGCATATGGGGCCAGCACCCTATCCTTTTGAGCCACAGGTACCGCCCTAGGCCTTTATTTTTTTTTAATTAAAGAGATGTGGTCTCACTTTTTTGCCCACGCTGGAGTACAGTGGTATACCTCCCTACAGTCTTAAATTCCTGGGCTCAAGTGATCCTTCCACCTCAGCCTCCTGAACAGTTTAGACTGCAGGCACATGCCTCACACTTGGCTAATTTTTTTTAATGTTTTTGTAGTGATGGCATCTTGCTATGTTGCGCAGGCTGGTCTTCTTGAACTCCTGGCCTCAAGTGATCCTCCCACCTCAACATCCAGAAATGCTGGCATTACAGGCATAAACCACCATGCTTGACTATTTTAGGAAAATTATGAGTCAGTGGTTAATATTGTTTTGCTCAGGTGAGATGCTACACTGATGTCATGCATATTTTTGTAAGTAGAAGAGATTGCCCCAACCCCCGAGATTCTTGACGATTTTTGTGCCTAGGACCTTTTGACAGTCTGGTGAAGTCTATTTTTGGAAAATGTGTTAAAATGAATATATCACAAGGGAAACAAATTATTACAGTTACCAAAATACTAAGGCAAATTTACGCTATGTGATATGTGCATATTCCTTAACATGTCATTAACATTAGCATGTCTTATGACTGTAATTTTGAAGTGGTGATGCATGTAAAGGCTATTTTGAGATGCCTGCAGCAAATGTAATATGAAACAAATCTGTGATTTCTGTAGATGACCCAAGTTAACGGGCACTACAACCATTACTGTGGCTTTTTGCTTAATATTCTAAATGGAAAAAACATTAAATTTTGATTAGAAGTTAGTGAACAGGGCCAGGGCAGTGGCTCTGCCTTAATCCTAGCACTCTGGGAGGCTCATGTTGGATAATCCATTGAGCTCAGGAATTGGAGAGTAGCCTGAGCAAACTGAGACCCTGTCTCTACAAAGAATAGAAAAAATAGTCAAGCGTTGTGGCAGGCATCTGTAGTCCCAGCTACTTGGGAGACTGAGGCAAGAGGAGCGCTTGAGCCCAAGAGTTTGAAGTTGCTGTCAGTTAGACACCACGGCATTCTACTCAGGGTGATGGAGTGAAACTCTGTCTCAAAAAAGTGCAGATAAAATTTGTTTCTTCGTGTAAGTTCATGGACCTCCTGAATTCTGAACATGGGCTCTTTGAGGGGCTTTCTGAATACAAGTTTAAATAACCTTCTGGAAGTTCAAATATGTTTTGGAGGGGAGAGAGCTCCTGATTTGCAAAAGAACCTAGCCTTAATTAACTCCATGTTCCTAAACTCTTTTTCCTCACAAGCAATCAAAGCTACTTTTTACTAGTCCTTTTCTTACTCTGCATCTTATTTGCAAAGGATTTTTGTATCTTTGATGGTAGAGGAAGAGTATTAGGTTGGAATCCCAACAGAGTTGCTTGACTGTATCAATGCTAGCATAAATCTTTGGATGAAACCCTGGAGTTCATTTTGATAGTTGTTTGCTGACAGAAGAATTTAACCGTACTTTTTTAAAGTCAGTTTAATCTTCTGTAGAAGTTTATCATCTCTCTTTCACTCCTTTTGTGTCCTTTTTCTCTTGAATCATGTTTAGATTATTTTTTAGATTTAATGTCTCCCTTTTTCTGTATTCAATACTGCTTTCATAATCTTGAATTACTATAGCAGCTCCTTGGGTTTCTGAGCCCTGGCAAGAGATAAGGCAACATGTTTTATGGACCTTTTGTGTTCTAAACATTTCTCTTGTTTCTTAATATTTCTCTAAGGCTTAGAAAAGATAAATTCCTGAGGCTTACTAGTGCTGATGATCTGATGATCAAATCTAGCAATAGCCTTGCTCTGTGCTGATCTCCCACTTAGTTGTTTTTAGCATGCCCACTCTTGTTTTCCTAGATTAACCTTACCAAGGACCATTTTTATCATGATATTATTCAGAAACCCAAAGGACCATTGTAATAAATTGCATGACAGATTTTTCACCTACTTCTCTTGCTATTCTTAATATGCATCTTTTGCTATAGCCATATCGTCCATTTACCAAACTTGAAATACTATTATTTTTCATATCTTATGTGTTCTTTTCATATGCTTTATATATACAGTGCTTTTCATCATCTTGATGAAAATTTAAGATCCTACTCAAATAGCTCTTATCTATAGTCTGTTTCCAGTATACAGTGTTCCCATTTTATTTTAATACATTGCATTTTACATTCATCTCTCTACCAGTTTCCTTATCAAAATTGTTACTTAACTAGAGTTCTGTCTTCTATTAGACTGAATTCATTATAGGCAAAATCACATGCCAAGTTAATCTTTGTGTCTCTAGTTCCCAGTACAGTGCCTGCTACATACATAGTAGATGGTATGTGGTATATCATGAAGAAGTATTTTCTTTTTTCCCTAAAATTTCCCAAGTCCTGTGTCTGCAATAAAATTGAATAATATTGAATGATTCTAAGGTTGGAATGCCACTTTAACCTCACAGTTGTCCCTGGCACAGGATGTGTGGACATGTTATATATTATGAATGGGCTTGTTCAAAAAGAAGTTCTATTTTTCATTATTTTATTTTATTTTTTTGAAACAGAGTCTCACTCAGTTGCCCTGGGGATGAGTGCTGACCTCAAACTCTTGGGCTGAAGTGATTATCTTGCCTGAGCCTCCTGAGTAGCTGGGACTACAGGTGCCCTCCGCAACGCCCCAGTAGTTTCAAAGATTGGATTTCACGCTTGCTCAGGCTGGTTTCAAACTCCTGAGCTCAAGCAATTCACCTGCCTTGGCCTCCCAGAGTGCTGGGATTACAGGCGTGAGTCACCATGCCCGGCCAGAGGACGAACTTTTAATTCACATATGTTCTCAAACCTAAATAGACTTTTGATTTTCATAATGTTTACCATTTATGCACTTACTGGTAATGAATCATCTCATTTTAAGGCCACTTAATACAATTTTGGTCATTTATATAGGTAAAAATCAACGTAGATTGTCATCTCCATTCCAAAGGTATGTTAATCAGCAAAACCAGCTAACTTTACAAACTAAATTTTTCATTCTCATATCTTTTGGTAATAGTGTGTCTGGTTGATTTTTGAATAGCTATATTGAGGTGCAGTTTATTTCACATGTAATAAAATCCATTCATTTAAAATGCAATTTGATGAATTTTGGCAAATACACATAGCTCTGTAATTACCATCAAGCTACAGAACATTTCCATCATTGCATAAAGTTCCCTCATAGTTATTTGTAGTCATCTCCTTCTGCTACGCCTAAGTCCTAGAAAACCACTGATCTACATTCTATCACTATATAGTCTTACCACTTCTAGCATTTGATATAATTGTAATCATGCAGAATTTATCCATTCACTGGTTGATGGACATTAATCCGTTTACCAGCTGATGTACATTTAGATAATTTCTGATGTTTTGCTATTATGAATAATGTTGCTGTGAACATTTTCATACAAGTCGTCTTGTGGTCATTTTCATTTTTCTTGGGTAGATACCTAGGAGTGGAATTGCTGGCTTGTATGATAAGTGTATGTTTTTACAAAACAGCCAAATTGGTTTTCCAAAGTGGCTGTGCCATTTTTTCATTCCCACCAGCAGTATATGAACATTCCAATTGCTTCATATCCTCATCAGCGCTTGGAATTATCGTCAGTCTTTAATTTTAGTCCTTCTAGTGGGTGTGTAGTATTACCTCATTGTGGCTTTAGTTTTATTTTCCCTGAAACTAGTGATGTGAGTATCTTTTCATGTGCTTTAAAGGCTCTTTGTATGTATTCCTTTGTGACATTTTCAGATCTTCTACGTATTTTTTTTTTAAATTGCATTTGGTTGTAACAGTTCTTTATATATCCCAGATACAACTCCTTTGTCAGATATTTTGGAAGTATTTTCTCTTATTCTGTGGCTTGTGTTTTCATTTTTTTTTTTTTTTTTTTTGAGACAGAGCCTCAAGCTGTCCCCCTGGGTAGAGTGCTGTGGCATTACAGCTCACAGCAACCTCCAACTCCTGGGCTCAAGCGAGTCTCCTGCCTCCGCCTCCCAAGTAGCTGGGACCACAGGCGCCCGCCACAACGCCCGGCTATTTTTTGGTTGCAGCCATCATTGTTGTTTGGTGGGTCCGGGCTGGGGATTCGAACCCGCCACCTTAGGTGTACGTGGCTGGCGCCTTAGCCGGTTGAGCTATAGGCGCCGAGCCTTTTGTTTTCATTTTTAAAAATACTACCATTTAAGGGCAAAATGGGTACTTAGTTCAGTGTAAACATTTCACATTTGTATATCAAAGCAGTACCTGGAACCCCATAAATGCATCAATATACAAAGTTATGATTTAATAAAAAAAAAACAACAAAAGAGCAAAATGATTTAGTTTTGAAGTAGTTCACTTTGTATTTGTCTTAATGTTTCATGATGTATGTGTTATTTCAGCTCCTATTTTAGATTTATGATCAATTTAATTTTTTGTATGGTGTGACACATAGTCAAGGTTTATTTATTTGTATATAATGAGAGTCCATCCTTTTCTTCTGTTGAATTATCTCTCCATCTTGAGATATTTTCAGTATTGAAAGTTGATTTTATAAGAGTGGGTCTGTTTTTGGACTCTCTTCAGTTTATTGATTTTTATCAAGGGTCGGTAAATTAAGTTCTATATGTCTTGTCTGGCTTGAGGACTTTATTTGTTGTAAATAAAGCTGTATTATTAGCACATGGCCATGCCCATTCATGTAGGTACTATCTATGGCTCTAACAGCAGAGACAGTAGTTGGGAGAGATTTTGCATGGCCTACAAGATGAAATAAGTACTGACTGGCACTTTTCAGAAAGTTTGCCATCCTCTTATAGTTTATAGTAAATCTTGAAATCAGGTATGTTTAAGTCCTTCGATTTTGTTCTGCTTTTAAAATATGGGCTGTTACAGGATCTTTGTATTTCCATGTACATATAGAATTATTTTGCCAGTTTATAGAAAGCAGGATTTTGATTGGGGTTGCATCGAATCTATAATTAATTAGAATTAGTAGCGTAAAAATACTAAGTTTTCTAGTGCATGCATGTGGTATGTATCTCCATTCGTTTATACTCTTTAATTCCTCTCAGCTTTGTTTGTGACTTTGTACATCATAATTGTTAAATTTATCCCTAAATATTTTATTGATTTTACTTTAAATAGAATTTTTAAAATTTTGCTTTCCAATTTTTTGTTGCTAATACGTAAAAATACGATTAAAATATGCAATAATAAAATTGATTCTACATATTGACCTGGTATCTGCAACCTTGCTAAATTCTCTAATTTTCCTAGTTTTTATAGATTGCTTAGGATTTTTACATATATGATATTGTGAATAAAGATAGTTTGCTTCTTCCTTTTTAATCTGTTTGCCTATATAACACACTTTTGGGGCATATATATGTGTGTGTGTGTATATATATATATATTTTTTTTTTTTTTAAAGACAGTCTTACTCTATCACCCTTACTAGAATGCTGTGGTGGCATCACAGCTCACAGCAACCTCAACTCTTGGGCTCAGGTGACCATCATGCCTCAGCCTCCCAAGTAGCTAGGACTACCACTACATCTAAACAGAGATGGAGTCTCACTCTTGCTCAGGCTGGATTTGAACTCTTGAGCTCAAGCAGTCCACCTAATCTTGACCTCCCAGGGTGCTAGGATTATAGGTTTGAGCCACTGTACCTGACCATGTTTGCCATAATCTTCATTTTGCCTTAATCCTCAAATCATATTTTGAATATCAGTGGTGAGAGCATACACTCCTACCTTATTGATCATACCGTCACTTTCAGTAGAATCATTTAGTTTTTCACCATTAAGGTTCATTGTAGGTTTTTTATGCCTTGTATCAAGTTAAGGAACTCCTTTCATTCCCCAGTTACAGAGATTTAAAAAACGTGTTGACTTGTAAAAAAAAAAAAAAAAAAAAAA